AGAAGTCTTCTGTATATCTTTGTAAAGGTGTATAAAGGAGAGATAAGGACATTGGGAGTATTCCCTTTCACAGATAATATAGATAGTAAGAGATATTTCTCTCTAGCTGTAAGGAAGAAATTCAGGTAACGACACACGGGATATTCTTACTTTTCCTGTAAAAAGGAATACCCCCAATAAAGTATATAAAAAGAAGAGAAAACATTATATGAATATTCCTTAATACGATAAAATGTATAAAGTCCAAAAGCGTATTGGAAGTATTCCTCGTGAAGGGAATACCCATTCCTTCCACAGATAACGAAGATAATAAGAGGAATACTTGCAATATTCTTGAGGACTCTATCTGCTTTATCTGTACGAAGACATACTCCTCTTTAGGAGTAAGGGAGTAGAATAAAGGGAAATCAACGGTTGTAAAAGGTATCCCTGCTTTACCTGCAGAAGGGAATACCCTCAGTATTCTGTAACTGGATGAAGAGCTAAGGGAATTAAAGTAGATGCAGAGATAGATAGGCGTGTTTTGGGTATATCCTTCTACAGCTAAACTAAATAGATACCCAAATGGATAGATATAGATCATTATGGGCATTCCTTTATATAAAATAAAGCAGATATTCAGGTAAACTGAGAGATAAGGGTATACAATAGAGCACTTAAATGTGAACTGAAAGTAAAATACCCAATGCCTAACCAAGTAATGAGTGTGGCTATGAGGTTATGGCAATATGATAAAGCCACGTTTGCATAAGCCAAACACAATCATGAGAATGCGGTTATGATGGACATAACCTTAATGCCAGCTCATATAAATGCATATATATATATGTATATATATAGATTTTCCTTGACTTTTCCCATGTGCGTCCTTGTTAGCTTTGCAGTCGGCAATTAAATTGCAAACGCTGTAAAAAACTGACTTGAGTTGAGTTGAGTTGAGCGCAATTTTAATTTGCAGTGCGGCGTTAATTATAATTAAAACTATTGAGCTAAACAAATATGTGCATGTATAAATAGCGCGAGACGCGCAGCACAGGGCCATATCCGAGCTATTAACATATATATATATATAGATATAGATATAGCTATAGATATATAGATTTAGATATAGATATAGATATAGATATAGATATAGATATAGATATAGATATAGATATAGATATAGATATAGATATAGATATAGATATAGATATAGATATAGATATAGATATAGATATAGATATAGATATAGATATAGATATAGATATAGATATAGATATAGATATAGATATAGATATAGATATAGATATAGATATAGATATAGATATAGATATAGATATAGATATAGATATAGATATAGATATAGATATAGATCTAGATCTAGATATAGATATAGATATAGATCTAGATCTAGATATAGATATAGATATAGATATAGATATAGATATAGATATAGATATAGATATAGATATAGATATAGATATAGATATAGATATAGATATAGATATAGATATAGATATAGATATAGATATAGATATAGATATAGATATAGATATAGATATAGATATAGATATAGATATAGATATAGATATAGATATAGATATAGATATAGATATAGATATAGATATAGATATAGATATAGATATAGATATAGATATAGATATAGATATAGATATAGATATAGATATAGATATAGATATAGATATAGATATAGATATAGATATAGATATAGATATAGATATAGATATAGATATAGATATAGATATAGATATAGATATAGATATAGATATAGATATAGATATAGATATAGATATAGATATAGATATAGATATAGATATAGATATAGATATAGATATAGATATAGATCTAGATCTAGATCTAGATCTAGATATAGATATAGATATAGATATAGATATAGATATAGATATAGATATAGATATAGATATAGATATAGATATAGATATAGATATAGATATAGATATAGATATAGATATAGATATAGATATAGATATAGATATAGATATAGATATAGATATAGATATAGATATATAATATATATACATGGAATCAAGCATGACACAATAGAATTTTGTGTGCACTTCGCGGCACTTTGTAACCCCCCCCCCTACATCTCCACCCCTTTCCCAACCTCTCTCTCCCCCTTCCCCCCCCCTCTCTCTCTCTCTCTCTCTGACGTGACATAAGCTAAATTGTTTTGAATTTTTGTTGAATCCGCTTCACAAATGACTGCATAGCATTGAGCTTGCGTATTATCTATCTAGAGTCTAGTTTTTGATGCCCTAACAGAGAGTACATTAATTATGTCTACGATTATGATCTGTCCCATTAAAAATAGTTTCCATATACATATTCCTGATTAGCTTCCATATAACCTTTATGGAAGAAATCCTCTCACTTTTCATGTTAACTCTTTGAAGATATAATTCTTTTCTTTAGGCAGAGTCAGCTAGATGGAATCCCTATATCATTCACATTCACATTCTGCGATTCCATTGGCAAGTGTCCGTTGTCGGTAACACGTGTATGGCTGCTTTAAATAAACAGGGAAAACTTACGGACAACATATATCACATAAGAAAAAAATGTTAAATGTTGACTGTGGAATTAGGCTATTAGATAGATAAATTAGTTTAAGTATGGAAAACTTTTTTGTTTTCCAAGATATCTTCAACAAACTCGGCAATAATGAGCTTCAACTGCAAAGTCTTGCGTCTCTTAGAGTATTTAAAAATCGGTCTGCTCTCCGTAACTGCCAGCTTATAAGTTTCGCCCTTTCCAGGGTACTTAAAGTTCGTCATATTTTTCGGTTTCGCTGCGGCTTCTAATTGAAGTGTCTGCTATTTGAGCAGCTGTCATGCGGTTGGGGTTTCGTCTGCGGATCTTTCACAGAAATCGAATAGGCAGCTTCTGCTGCTGCGGTCAATAGAGCACGACATAATTGCTGATTGAATGCGGCTGTCATCGGCTGACGTCAGGCCCCCAACTGATTAATAGCAATTAGCTGGGCTTCCATGTACAACAATTGGCCACATGAAACCACAGTAATATAGCTGTAAATTCCGGGTTTGGGTTTCGGTCTAGCCACAAGGACTCTCGGACTCTCATATAATACATATGTGCATATATGTATATCTGGTATATATCTGCAAATCGAAGGCACGCAAACTGAGGACAAGTCACGCCAACATCTACGTATATATACTCTTATATATATATAATTTATATATACATGCTTCTCAGACATTTCAGTCTCGGCTAGGAAATGGGCTGCTCCATTTTGGCGCCATAAATCTGCAGCTCGCCATGTCGCATGTCGCGGGCAATTCGACAAATGGCTTCAAAAAGCACAGAAAGGAGAGCTGATCGGGTGTGCACGACTAGCAGATACCCTATCATTCGACGGGGCGAGGCTATCCAAAAAGTGACATTTTCTGGATCTGCGTAAGCTGGACTAGACTCTACCTGCAAAATTTGCTGTCCTTAGCTCTAAAAAGACCCGAGATATGCAGAAAAGACAGAATGTAGTAAGCGGTTCTTATCGATAACTCAGAAACGGGCAAAGTTATCGCTGATTTGAAACAAACTGGTTTTGCGTGTGCCTTAGAAAGATGTGCATCCAAAATTTCAAGTGCTTAGCTTTTATAGTTCTCGAGATTCCGAGATTCATATCTACCAAAGAGCAGATAGACAGTCAGATCTTGTCTAGATCGACTCAATGTTGTTTAGCGAGAATTTATACACTATATGGCATCATTGACGCCTCCTTTTGCCTGTTACATACACAGTCACAAAATATCATACCCCTTTTATCCCCTTTTCATTTTGTATAGGGTATAAGAAAACTGGCGCAACACTCGCATAAAAGTTTATATTCTCGCGTGTCGCACAATGGAAAAGTCGTTTGAATATTGCTGTAAAGTGTACACATTTTCCTGGTATAGCAACAAAATAATTCTGTTTGACTTGTTGCCCGTGTAACACGACAATTTGTGGCTCCGTTTTGAGACTCAGCTAAAGTTTGCTCTCTTAAATCAACTTTTTCCAAACCCTTTCTGTTCGTTACTTTCTTCAGCTCCTTACTCATGATATTCCCAGTGCCAGCAATAGCTATCGATAAGTTGTCTATAGCTCAGTCAAGGAATGAAATGGAACTAAGGATTGAACCTAAATCTGGTTTCGAGGATGAGGGAAGCCACGAGATGAACCCTCAACATTTTGCAGCTATTCTGCTTATTACAAGAGCTTGGCGCTTAGCCTAGGGTAACTCTTAGTCGTTCACTCTCTATTGATCATTCATATTTAATTTACTGTTGTTATTTCTTGAATATGTTCTATGATTAAACCAATTCTCAACACTATTATTCAAGTGTGTGCCTGTTTTAAGTTTTTACAACACCAATTTTAAGTATTGTCAGAGCTTAAAGGTTATATAACACTAGCATACCATTATATATATGTAATTGATATTGTGATGTATAGATAGTTTTCCATCTCTTCTCTTTGCAACACTAATTTCCAGTGTTATACAAGACAAATAGTGCTGCAGTTTTTCTCTGTAGCCGAACCCACAACGATTTGAAGCTTTTCTCCTTGTTACTACGTCTTGTCGCTTCTTTTAGGATATCTACTAGTCGTTCACTCCCGACTAGAGCATTCCTATTTGTTTTTAACGTGGAATTTCCAATGTTTAAACAGTTCAATTTGCTAAATTTAAACCACATTTTATCTGCTCAAGAGCTAGATAATATAATAATACTTAAGAGAAAGGGAGAGAGTGAAGCGGGTAGATGGGGCTTACTTAATTAATTTTTACAACTACCTCGTGGGGTGTCTATTTATATAGCGTAACATCGAATATTGTGCTCTAGCCGATATCAGCTGAACATATGGCATTTCAGTTAGATATTTTGAGCTCGATAAAACTGTTGTGCGCAAATAATTGGAGTGGAGCGTAAGAAGAGCAGCGCGTCACATCAAATAAATATAATAATAACTCGTGTCTAAGTACCTGGATTGCAGGTTATCAGAGACCGATAGGAATTGTCTTCGAATTGTCTTCGAATTGTTGGTTTTCGCAATAAAAGGCCAAACGCGAATTTCCGCCAAGACATTCAACTCGAGAGCTTTCTTCTGAAAAAACATGAATTCCGTAACTCTGGTGGGCCTGGTGCTCTGCTGTGTCTTCCTGACATCGGCCTATGCCGGCAACGATTATCTCTGGGGCGAAATCGGGCCCAATGACTATCAACTGGCCAAGGATACCGTCTCGAAGGCCTTCTTTGTGGGCCTCGTGCAGAAAAAGAAATACGTTTTCAAGCAATCTGTGCGTAATTACCCAACACTTATTCGATTTACTCATATATATTTATCGTTCCGTGTCCCGCTAGGATAATCTCGATGCCCTGACCATTACGGCCATTAGGGTCACCGACAAGAAGAAGAGCAACGGCGCAACCGCCGTGCTGACCGCAGGCGGACCCGGCTCCAAGGGCGCCACCATTCAGTTTACCTCGCAGCGCGGCTACGGCATCAAGGATTTGGTCGAGGTATGGGGCCGATAAATCGGGCTGATAGCACGCTAGCAAAACGCTTGCTAACAAGCCTAAAAGTATGCCAAATCTCGGAATAAAGCTTTAAGCATTTCATATTCTGTGTGTTCTCAATAGCTCTTTGGTCCAAAAGCTGTACTCTTTCTTTTAATCCGACCTCCAAATGACATTTAAGCCAAAAAAGAGTTGCCAGTTACTGACATTTGCTACGGTTCCAGTGTTGGTAATGTCTAAGCAGGTGGTTAAGTGTTGGACATGGGAAAACTAAAGCTAATTTTCACGACTTTGTGTGTTCTCAATAGCTCTTTTGTCCAATAGCTACATTGCTTCTTATAATCCGACCTACAAATGACATGTAAGCCAAAGAAGAGTTGACTGTTTCTGCCATTTGCTACAGTTCCAGTATTGGTAAAGTCTAAACAGATTGTTTAGTGTTGTAATTAAGAAAACTAAAGCTGAGTTTCACGACATTTGTGTGTAAACAACAACTCTTTAGTCTAATATCTACATTGTGTCTTATAATCCGACCTACAAATGACATGTAAGCCAAAGAAGAGTTGCCAGTTGCTGACATTTGCTACAGTTCCAGTGTTGGTAATGTCTAAACAGATTGTTTAGTGTTGTAAATAAGAAAACTAAAGCGGAGTTTCACGAATTTTGTGTGTTCTCAACAACTCTTTAGTCCAATATCTACATTGTTTGATAAGCCAAAAAAAGACTGACCAGTAGCTGGCTATTTCTACAGTTCCAGTGTTGGTAAAGTCTAAACAGACTGTTAAGTGTTGAAAATAGGAAAAATAAAGCTCAGTTTCACGACTTTTATACAGCCAAACTATAAAATCTAACATATATATGAATTTAGACTAAATAGTAGCCAGCTTAATTTATATTAATTTAAGTGCGGGAAAAGTTCAAGCAGTGTTGAAAAAGTCTATTTTAAAGAGTGTGAAGCATAGCTAGTGGATAAATAATGACAGCCAAATGGGTTCCACAAGCTTTATGACGCACAAAATACCCACTAGTTAAATTAGTATTATTTTGAGTGTTGAAAAAGTCCAAGCAGTGTTGGAAAAGGCCTTGTTAAACCGTGTGAAGCCAGCCAAATGGGTTCCACAAGTTTTATGACGCACAAAATACCCACTAGTTAAATTTGTATTATTTTGAGTATTGAAAAAGTCAAAGCAGTGTTGGAAAAGGCGCTGTTAAGCAGTGTTAAGCACAGCTAGTGGATAAATAATGCCAGCCAAATGGGTTCCACAAGCTTTACGACGCACAAACTACCCACTAGTTAAATTTGTATTAGTTTTAAGTGCTGGAAAAGTCCAAGCAGTGTTGAAAAGGGCTTTGTTAAGCAATGTGAAGCCAGCCAAATGGGTTCCACTAGTTTTATGACGCACAAAGAGTCAGTTTTTGAATATATTTTTGGCTGAGCTCAACTGGTTTTTTGCTAGAATCTACAGTTGCGGGCATCTAATCCCATTTATCAAAGTCTAGACGCTGCTGGCCATATATATTTATGTATGTTTACTCGACACGTATGTGTGTGTGCGTGTGTGTGTGTGTGTATATCTGATCCCACAGTCAGCACAAAGGCACTCGAAACCGAGCACTGAAAAAAAAAAGTAAGAGACACACACACACACGACTCGTCGCTTCAAGGCCAACTTCTTATTAAATGCCAAAATGTGAGCGTTTGTATGGGAATAGAAACTACAAGATACAGATACAGCGCCAGCTACAGATACAAGATACAAGATACGCGCTGCAGCTTAAAGCCAGAGAGAGAGAAGCGAGAAGCGAGAAGCCAGAGCAGGATTATATTTACAAGCAGGCCAAGAGAACTTGGAAGCTGCTGCCAGGCTGCGATATGTAAATCTAGCTTTGAAGATCGCCAGATACAGATACATTTAGAGATACATTTGTAGATACAGATACAGCTGCAAAATGGCGTCATCTGCTGTCAATAAGTTGTATATTCACTCGCAGAATATGAATGTACTTTGGAGCTAATGAGTAACAGTCTGTGTATATAGATATATATCATATCATACATGTATATAGTCAGGCATATTGATAGATCTGTCTGTTTGTATTTACAGTCGTCGTCGTCGTCGTCGTCTAACTTGCTGCGCCCAAGGTCAGCCCGCCTCGCTCTGAGAAGCTTTGCTGTTAGTCAGGGTCCCCTGCTTTGGAAGACCTTGGCTACCTTGCCCGTTAATCTCTGAACAATCCAGTAAACTCCAAGTTTCAATGCAAAATTTCAAATACAAAACACACACACGCACACACACGTATTAATTATACATGACTGGCCCCGTCTATAGCTATGGAAATAAACGATATGTACGTGATTTCATGGCAACTTGTTTGCTCGGTTCTCTCACTTGCAAAAGTTGGCTAATAATTCAAATAGATTCAAGTCTAAAGAATGCAATATCGTATTCCAGATATACCTATATATGTATATACATCGTGACAACTGTACATCAATTAAATGTACCTGTCTATTAAGCAAATTCAGTCCAACAAATATAATATATTCAATTAATTGTAACAAATGCATAGTTCAACTTTTATATACTGTTTCTTTTTTTAATTTACTTGAATATGTTCTATAATTTAATTATTTGACTTACAACACTATCAACCAGGTGTGTGCCTGTTCTAGGCATTTTCAACACCAATTTTTAGTGTTGAAAAGTTATACAACACTAGCATACTTTACTTTTTGTATATTTGAGATAGTTTTCTATCTCTTCCCTTCCCAACACTAATTTCCAGTGTTAAACAAGCCAAATAGTGCTGCAATAATCAGGTGTTCCTCTTAGCCTAATCTATGCTAATCGCAAACCAAAACTTTGTTACACACACTCACACACACACACACGGAAAATACCTGCACACACACCATGCAAATCGGTTCCATTTGAATGCCTGATTTAATGATCAGAATCCACATTTGTCCCATGATTACCTACCACAAAAAATCTGAACAAAGCATTTTATATAATTTCTAAATAATTGAAACAGGAAAATTGCATCATCAACAACAATAAACAAAAAAAAAAAACCAACTCAAATGCATTCTTACAAATTGCTGAGAATATAATTTGAGGGCGGCATGAAAATATTTATTATACATATATACATATATATATTCATACATATATAATAGTTGCCGCCTCTTAGCCACATGATCAACGATCCGTTGGCCGCATCACTCACTAGCCACACACACACACGCGCACACACACATACACAAAGCACCCCAAAACACAAAATTCCCCTTGCACAGGTCTCACCTGTCCGGCCGTATGTGTGTGCCTGTGTGTGTGTTTGTGTGTGACATGGTGTTAAAACTTGTTTATTTGAAATTGAGCGAATGATTCAATTTCTAATTCGAATTGGTTACTGCGAGTACGTTTAGCAGCCTTTTGCTAATTGGACAATGTGGCCAGGTGTTAAAACGACTCTTCCAAAGCTTTTGGCCCATGTTTCAATTGATTTCTTAATCAACTTTCGTCAGCGATAAAATGCACACACACATATGTACATACATATTTATATGCATACAAAAGGGTCTATTTGTTTCGCTCTTCTAAGCACAAGAAAAAATTATTATTTTCTATTTCTACCCATTGTACAGTTTTTTTTTATTCTTCGTACACAAAATACACAGGCACACATACATGCGTACATGCGTGCATGTGTGTGTGTGTGTGTATGCTGTCTCATTGGCAGACTTAGCAACAAGACAACAGCAACATAACATAGAAACCGACTGCGACCGTTTGTTCTGTTCATAGTCGTCGCGTCGTAACGGTTTCATCGCTTGCGTCGCCAGTTCTTGTTCGTGGAAAAAGCGTACACATTTGATAAAGCGTATGCGCGCGACAGAGCTAGAAATATTTATGCGTACGCTTGTGTGCAAATGTGTGTGTGTGTGTGTGTGCTTGCGTGCGTGTGCGTCTGGTGGAATGATAAAATGTGTAATAAAAAGAAAACGTTTCCAAAAGCTGTTTGAAAGAGAGCATTTTTTTTATTTTGAATTTTAGTGAGCAAAAAGTTTACAAACATATTCCAGCTTAAGAGTAGGTACTTTTAAATACTAGGATCACACAACTGTTATTTTCATTTGACACAATTCCAGGTTGGCAGTTTATAATTATTAAAGATTTAACATGTTGATACGCCCGCAATTTGTATAGGAGAGAGAAAAAGACTGACTATATAAAAAGCACAGTGAGTCCCCGTCTCGCTCCCACATAGGTTGCAGTACGTTGATAAAAACCGCTCAGCTCGCACACGCTGCCATGTTAATAGGAGACAGCAGGCGGCGGCGGCAGCGACAGCGGCATCAGCAGCAATTGGGTGGAAAAACTTGTAAAACAAATACACGAAAAGCGCGAAGCGAGCGGGAAAAAATTCCATTAGATTTCTGTAACGTTTACCCATGTAGTTTGCCGACGCCAAAAACGCGGCCAACTTTGTTCGCTGTGCAGCTGCAAATGGCGCGAGCAACTGCCGAAAGCAGCACACGAACGAAACTCGACGAAAAAAGCCAACTCAACGAACGAGTGTACGAAACGAAAGCGCTTCGTTAGAATTCGCGTGTGTGTGTGTATATATGTGTTTTGTGTCTGTGTGTGTTGGTGTTTTATAAATTATGACGTCGCCCGAGCTTTTTTCTCTTTCGAATTTAGGTGAAGAAATATGTAATCAAGTACATACACACATGTACAAATTCAGACAAATTTCAGACTTGCCGTCATCCGATAATAAAAAGCACATGCAAAGGCCATTCAAACCATGTCGAAATAAATGTGTTTAATCAACGAGCAAGCGTGCTGCTGACGTTTAGAGCGAGATGGCAACGCTCTTTTTTCCCCTTTGCTCTGCGCCATTTGTAAGTTGCGTAATTGTCGGTCGATTCAAAAATGTGTCATTCAAGTTCCTGGTTGACTTTGCCGTCAGCGGATTCTCGTCAAAAACGGCGCCTCTCTTTTGTCATCTATTCTTTTTATTTTCCATTCTTTTGTGCAAGACAAATGCGCGCGAGTTTACGTAATGCGCGGGCTTTTTCTTTTTTTTTTTCG